ATAACCTTCACTAGAAAACAGCAATACCGACCCTTTCAGCAAAACCGCTTCCGACCACGAAACCAATGCAAAAGAGCCCCAAACAACCACTCTTCTGCAACTTAGGCCTTGAAGCAGCACATTTGTATATTTGGTTGAGGGTCTGCCTGATCACCGCCAATTACAGTATCAGGTGAGCACTAATATATTTCACCACCGCTTGCGCCTGATCTAAAATCAGTGGGCAGCAATCACTACAGATCGGTGGGTCCTAGAAATTGTCAGCTATGCTATTTCTGTCCCCTTCACGGCAATCCCTCTCACCTTCCCACTCTCTCCCTCCCTCTTCAGGGACCCCTCTCACGAGACACTGCTCCTTGAGGAGGCTTAGCACCTTCTCAATATAGGAGTCATAGAGTGGGTCCACGAAAAATACAAAGGGGGAGGGGTTTATTCAAACTACTTTATCACTGAAAAAAGAACTGGAGCTTGGAGATCTATCTTGGACTTGTGCCAATTAAACAAATACCTTTGCAGGCAACTCTTGAAAATGGTTATGCTCGCCACAATAATTCTGGCACTAGATGGGGGGCTGGTTTGCAGCCCTCGACCCTCAAGATGCATATTTTCACATTATAATTCAACCTGCACACAGACGTTTCCTATGAATCACGGTAGCCTCAGACCACTTTCAATATAGAGTCCTCCTGCTCAGACTCTCCTCCACCCCCAGAGTCTTTCCCAAGACCCTTGCGGTGGCTGCGGCATATCTCAGATGCAATGGGATCACAATATTCCCTTCTCTAGATTCCTATCCGAGGTCCCTTATAATGGACCATCAGAGACGTGATCACATTCACAAAGACCACACTTCAGTCGTTAGGCTTCATTATCAACAAAATCCATACTATGCCCCACACAATCTGAGGCAGCAATCCAAACTATCCACAATATTTGGCAACATACTAGCTACATTTTTATCCAGCCTGATCTGCCATCACTACCAACAAGTGGGTGTTGGAAATCGTGAAAACCGGCAACTGCATCCCATTTTCAGTTGCCCCCCCCCTCCCTCTCACTTACCTCCTTTGCCTGTCCCTCTTCAGGGACCCCTCTCACGAGCATGTGCTCGTGCAAGAGTTGTAATATCTCCTAAGTCTGGGTATCATAGAAGAGGTACCACAACAACACAGGCTCAGCCGCTTTGTCGGATACCAACACTTCAAGATGGTGACCCTTGGCACAATTATACCTGCCCTAGAAAAAGTACAGAATGCTACCATTCAGGCTCTTGACAGTCCCATGAGTGTTCTCAAAGATATTGGCAGTAGTAGCCATACACATGTGCAAAATACACATCACAATATTTTCATAACTAGATGACTGTCTACACAACAGGCTGTGTCTCATACTTGGGCTTCAGATAAACATAGTGAAGTGCACACTGACCCCAACTGAAACACTACAGTTTATAGGGGCACACTTAGATTGCACAGAGGCCAGAGCCTCATTACTGAGCCACATATGTGCCACAATGAAGAACTTCATAGCAGCAGCAAAGACCAGCCCGGCCATAACGGCACACCTATGCCTACAAATATTGGGGCACATGGTGGCAGTCACATTCATGGTTCCCCGTGCTTGGTTAAACATGAGGCCATTACAAGCATGGCTACATGCTGCCTACAGGCCACACATTCATCCTTTAAACAACTTTCCTTGCCAAACAAGATAAAGTTCTCTTACATGGTGGACCCTGCACGACAGCGTATGCATAGGTGTCCCTTTCAAATGTAACCCCCCATCAGCAACAATCACAACAGATGCTTCACTGATGGGTTGTAGGGGGCACACCCAGAGACAGGGTACACACTGTGGCGTAGTGGGAGTGCTGTCTGTTCTGTGTACCTGGGTCCCCCTGCGCTGTGATCTGAGATTCTCACTGACTCTCCCAAATGTGTATTAACCCAGACACTCAGGCTCAGCATCCCAGGGAGAGAGACAAAGGGAGGAGGGTGGAAACCAACACCTGGCTGGGGTCAGGGCTGGAAGAGAGTTTTAGTTTCTGTCTGGAATCCTGGAGGAAGCAGCCTAAGCAAAGGGGCTGGGAGTTAGGGGCCCAGTCTCCTCCATCTCAAGGGGGCTGAGGCATCCTAGGCCTGGCCCTGTAACTGGATGACATCTATGCTGTGCTGTATCCTGGAGAAGCAATAAACTCCCTCTGTTCTACTGGCTGGTGAAGTCTGTTTGTGCCACTACGGGGGTGCAGGAGTCGGGAGAACCCTGACGCGCCGTCATACATGCTCATACCAACTCTGCCAAGAGGTTTTCTGTCTGTGAAAAGGGTGTATCCCATTGAACATACACCTGGTCACAACTTACCTCCTGGACAGTGTACTCACGGACAGCCTAAGCAAACAATTCCCACAAAACCACAAGAGGGAAATATACCAATCAATGCTGAGTTATCTCTTCAAGAAGTGGGGGTTCCCAACAGTGGACCTATTTGCTACACGTGAAAATGCTTGTTGCCCATAATACACACTCCCTCTGGGATGCCTTCCTCATACAATGAAAGGCACCCTTAGCATATGCATTTCTCTCATTTCCTCTGATACAACAGGTGATCCTCAAGATCAGACAGGACAGGGCCAAAGTAATACTAGTAGCATCCAACTGACCCAGACAAACGTGGTACTCGTACCTCTTACAGATGAGCACCTGACCACCATGTTGCTTCCCACCAGTCTCATCTTTGCTCACACAGAGCATTGGTCAGATACCACATCCTGCTATCCACAAGTTGCATCTACAAGCATGGATGCTGACTGGCTGAACACCATGGAAAAGACCTTCCAAGCACCAGTGCAGTTCATCCTCACAAATTCCAGAAGATCTACAATGAGAAAAACATATATGCAGAAATGGAAGTGCTTCACAGCCAGGTGCACGACTCACACTTTTGAGCCCGTCCACACGGGGGTATCACAGATTTGGCAATACCTATTACACTTGCATAATGCAGGCCTTTCCCTGAGCTCTATAAGGGTACATCTCACCTCCATTTCTGCTCTCCATGTTCCCATATAAGGACACTCCTGTCTTTACACAGCCTTCCATCAGATGGTTCATACGGGGCCTACATAACATGTTTCTGCCACTCAAGGACCCAATTCCAGCCTGGGATCTGAACCTAATGTTAAAAGTTCTTATGGGCAAACTATTTGAGCCTTTAGCCACGTGTTCATTACTACATCTATTCATGAAGATGGCTTTCCTCTTTGCAATTCTCTGCCAGACGAATCGGGGAAATGGGAGCCCTAATGATGGACCCCTTCCCAGACACAATATTTCATAAACACAAGTTAAAACACGGCTACCTCTCTATTACTATTCATCATAAAGACAAAGTGGTTCTGTTGACAGATCCCACGTTCCTCCCGAAAGTACTTAACCTCATTCCACTGAAATGAACCCATATACTTACCCACTGTCTTCCCGAAGCAGCATAAGGACAACAAGGAATCAGCTCTCCATACCTTGGATGTCTGCAGGGCACTCGCCTTCTACCAACAGCAAACAAAGCCCTTTTACAAAACTCCACGACTGTTCATTTCATTTACAGAGAGGTCACGGGGTTACCCATATCAAAACAAAGACTATTGAAATGGGTATCTGGCTGCATACAGCTATCATATACCTTAATGGAGAGAGCCCTCACCCAGCGTACGGGCTCACTCTACAAGAGCCATAGCAGCCAGAATGGCATTCTGACAGAACACATTTGCAAGGTTGCCACATGGATGTCTATGCATACCTTCATGCAGCACTATGCCATCCATACATTCACAGATGCAGAAATGAGATTTGGCCAAACAATACTTTGTCACAGATTCACCTTCCGAAGCTCCCAACTCCTATTATGACTACTACTTCATGATCACCTAAAGGTGGAGCACCCACGGGGACACTCTTCAAAAAAGAAGGGAAGGTTACTCACCTGGTGCAGTAACTGGAGTTCTTCGAAATGGTTGTTCCCGTGAGTGCTCCAGCACCCATCTTCCTCCCCTCTGCTTTGGACATGAACACGTCTGGGTCAGAGAAGGAACTGAGGAGCCGGATGGCTGCTCATGGGCAGTAGCCACTTCAGATCACATGCACTGGCACTCTGTACGTGCAGCTGGCCATGGGCACTTCTGTCATAAACTTCTGATCAGAGGTGCAGTGGTGCTGGCGCATCTAAAGGTGGAGCACCAATGGGGACAATCATTTTGAAAAACATTGAGTAACCTTTCCAATCTTGATGTTGTTCCAAATGGTGACTTCACAAACCCAACAACTAAACGGAAGGATAATGAAGTTGAAGAGTGGGTAAAGGTCTATCAAGATCTAGATGTCATTAAAACCCTGGACAGACATTGAAATTATGGAAATGGTTGTCCATCTGGAGAGAGATACTGCAGATTAAACAGATTCAGTAGAAGAAGGCCATAGAGAAGAAACCAAAATCTTTTGGGTTACTGTTGTACAGTGTCTAGAAGCTTTGGTGAAGTTTGCCGAGCAGCAGTCTTCTTATTCTGCTCAGGAAGCCAGGAAGCTGCATATTATCCACAACAATTTCCTCAGGAAAAAACAACTGACTGGCAGGCAGGCAGATACCTTCAAGATGCTTCAAAAAGTTGCAGCTTGTGCCACTGGTCCAGCACCATCAACAGCAGAAGTTATAGATGTTGATGACCCTGAGAGAAGTAGTAAATTACAGTACTGTATACAGTAATAGTGTTAAAAGATGTAGTCTTTAAGGTTATTTCATATCCAACATTTTTTGCATTTGGTGAAAAATTCATTAACTGTCAATATAAAGCTTGAGTAACTAGTACATTTGATTAACCAACAACCCCCTATTGCTCATGAATTATGGATAACAAAGTTTGTACTGTATATACTATTAATTCGTGTCCTGGGTTCTAAAAACAAGCTATAATCGTTACTAAGATCTGTTGCCATCTTACATTTTCTAGGATCGTACGCCAGTTGGTTCTTCACAGTCAACACCTACAGAGGAACTGTCATCTCAGGGCCAGTCCAACACTGATAAGATTGAATGCCAAGCAGAAAATTACCTAAATGCACTCTTTCGAAAGAAAGGTAATGGAAGCATGTCTTTCATATTAAATTATGCAATAAAAGGTTGAATAATCACGTGATTTATTAATAATCTTTCAGTCCCAAATCATTATTATTACTCCAATTTTGAGTTCTGAGGGTTCCCCCTCCCTTCCCCGCTCGTCTGTCTTTTTCTTTCCTTTGCCCCTTTTGCTGCTCCTAAAATAAGACGACACAGTGCTGCTTACCACTCCTCTCCTGTTGTTGCCATCTATCTAGTTGTACTTTGTTCTTCATTCTGCCTTCCAATATAATGCATTCTTCTCTCTTTCCGTCAGCTGCAGTCTTCACTTGTTGGATTCTTAAAGCATTTTAACATTTTTGTTCCTAAGCCACTTTTGCTATTTTTACAAGAAAATGGTTTTTAAAGGACGAACTGTGTATGTTGGGGATTAGTAATGGGATATAGTTCCTCTTTCCTCAATTGCTACTCTTAATCCGTCCAAGTGAGTGATTGAAAGTGGTTATCTCATAGAATTCAATAACTCCACATTTTCACTTCCAAGGCTGCTGTCACTGATTGGCCCCTGATAATTTTGTGGGATATGACAAGTCAGTTTGGCTCTTAATGAGAAATTGGGAATAAATTAGTCACCTGCTACAGGAGGGGTGGGCAACAATTTTTGAAGGGGGGCCACTTCACAAATTTCTGAAGTGGCCCCGGGCCACCCTGGAAGGGGTGGGGCTTTGGGCAGAAGGGGTGGGGTCAGGACACTTCCTGTGCTTCCCCACCCACAAACCCTGATTGGCTTAGGGATGTAAGAGCACAGGAAGTTGTCACTGTCATGGCTCCTTCCCCACTCTGGCATGATAAATGCAGAAGTGGGGGCCAGCAAGTGTACCCAAAGCCTTATCTACCAGGCTTTGGTATAAAACTTCCCCCAAAATCTTAAAAACCTAGATCTTGGGAATAAAACTTCCGCTGCCACCACCCAAATGTTGATAAAGAAACCAGGGGAAAGATCATTTGGGAAATCTCACCCCTAAAATAAAAATTAGGGCACACTATTAACCAATGCCAGGTTAATAAAAAGAAAGGAAAGAACTTTTATTATTACAACAATATTCCTGTTGCAAACATACTGACTAGATAGGGAGGTAACAAAATATACTCATGGAGGAACTCCATGGGCCTAGAACTTAGTTACAAAAAAAAGCCAAAACATCTTTTAAACAGTGCCAGATCTCATACCCAATCCTTAAAACAATAAAACCTAACGAAACTACCTAAACTTTACCCTACTTACAGAAAATGAAGAATGGTGTCTTGGAGAGAGAGAGACATGCTTGTCCTTCTCTGTAGCTGCAGAGACCTCTCTGAGAGACAAAAGGAGAAAGGAAAAAACCCAAATTCCTTTGTCCCAGGTTGAAAGTCCCACCTACATTCCTACTGGTCACTCCATCTGGCTAGGTGTAGTTAACCCCTTAATCCCCAGGCTGCTGGCTAACCCTCATAATCATGACAGTCCCCCACCATTCCCTGGGGCATAGAGAGAACCAACAGCTGTTTTGAACAGCTGTAGATGCTACATGGATACCTCATGCACTCTCTCCACCCCCAGGGCAATCAGGACCTGGGGGCATGGGAGTATGCGAAGTCTCTCACCCCGTTTCCCTGCCTAGAGCGAACCACCAGTTGTTAAAAACTGCTGGCGGTTCCCTCTGATGCCACATGACCTTGGGAGGAGGAGTAAACTTCATGTGCTCCCCCATCCCCAGATCTCGATTGGCCTGTGGGCAGGGGCGTGACAGCATGGCCGTAGGCTGGATCAGCTGGCTTGGTTGTGACCTGCAGAGGCTCTCTTGCCTACTTCTGTGCTAGGTTAATTGGAAAACAGAGTACCAGTCATAAGAATGCTCTGCTCTCTACAATATACACATATGTGTGTGAACTATATTCTTTGTATCTGTCCTGCCTGTTGTGTTTCAAACAGAGCAGTGAATAACCTTGGTGCTGGAAAAAAAACGATCTCCTTCATCTATCTGTGTATCAGTGTGTGCATGGAGTTAGGAGGAGTAGCACTTCATACTCCTAGCAACTAGCACTGATAAAAAGAGAATGGTGTTTCATTCTTTCCGAAGGAAAATGAAGAGGAAGAGTGTTTGTATTTTCTTCCTTTACCTGGCTGCAGGATGGAGAAAATATGGAGGCTAGATGTTTTGTCCGCATTGATGGGACTTTTTTTGATCTGTGTATTCAGCCTAGGCTTGCTTTAAAGACTGACATCTGAGAAGCTTGGGGATTTCAATCCTGCTTTTTTTTTTTTAACTTCAGTTTTAGTGCAGACTAGTAATGAATGAATGAGAAAGCTATGGTGTCCCACCACTGCACCAGAGACTCATCTGTTAGATTAATCAGGGCTCTGGCCCCATGGCCTCTCCTGGGGTGGTTCTTCCTGCTGCTTCTGAGTTCAGCTTGGGAGGTGTGGTTTCTGCCTTCAGTTGTCATGCTACTTGGTGGGGTTTTTGGAACATAGAACTCCTTATACCTTAGATATTCTGGCTAATTGTCTTCTGATGCTTCTGTAGATGAACTTTCAGTGTGAGAGAGATCTGGAGGAGATCTGGATGTCCTTTAGCAGAGACATACATCAAACTCCCAAGTCTTCCCTGAAAAGTACATTCTTTTGGTATCTTACCTCTTTGGTCTCCTATGAATCAATGATGCTCTGTCAGAAGTAAAATCATTCTACCTATTCAGAGGGGACAGAACAAGCAGAACTGTTCCGGACTACTGTTACTCTCCAGTGAATATCCAAAGATGTTGGTAGGTCAGATAGTGCCTGTTCATGGTTATTGCCTTAGTTGAGTTTCTGGTAAGTTGCTTGATATTTTGAAAACATATGGAAAGAGAATTTCTCTAGTAAGCAAAGAACTTCTGAAGTAAGTTTGGGTATACCAACAGAGGCATGTAAATTAGACATACCAACATAGTCAATGAAGCGGGGATTTAAATATCCCCCGCTTCATTAGAATAAAAATGGCCACTGCGTTGTGCCGGCTCAGCTGTTTGTTGGCACAAAGCGGCAGTCAAGACAGGGATTGGTCGGCAAGGAAAGCCTTTGCCGACTGATCCTGTAAACCTCGTTGCACAAGGCATAAGTCATATGCCTTCTGCGCATACCCTTTGAGAGGTTTGGAATTATTCTGTGTCTGTCCCATGAATGTGCAGGAGACTCTAACTCCTATTGGCTTTCTGAATAAAGGGTATGAATTTTTCCCCATTACTCTATGCTGTTCTATTCTTCGAGGAGCCCCAGTAAGCACATGTCACAGCTTGCCGGACCAAGTAGCCACAGAAAATATCCTGGAGCACTCCCCAGAATGCTTCTGGGGCTCTAAATCTGAGGCAGGCTCAGTTCAATGTGGATGTGCTATTTCGGACTAATTCGAACTCCAATTTCGAAGCTTTCCCTAGTTCACTAGTTCGAATTTGTTACATCGGGAGTTAAGGCAAATGTAGTAGTTTTGATATTTCCTAGTGTAGACATGGCCCCAGTGACTTCTTAAATATCTGTTTCACTTACCTTTGGTAAATGAAATATCAAACAATCATTCATTTTCAGATTTAGTTTTTACAGCTGTGTCAGAAAAGTTTTCAAAATTAATCACTGTTTAAAAATGTATAGTGTGTACCTAAAAATGAAACCTAGCTCTGAGTTGTGAAGAATAGATATTAAAGCTATAACAACAGACAAGAATGCACTTTTATGTAGAAAATGATTAAATCAAGTCTTCCTGACTGTTGTTTAAATAATTATTTAAATCAATTTGATTTAGAGAAAATCCACCCTGTCAAATATGGATATATGCATTTTAAGAGAAGCTAGAAATGATATAGTTTCTGTTTTCTGCTAAGCAGCAGATCTGAAAGTTAGCCAGATTCCATCTAATTCTTCCCCCTTTCTCCTTTTTAGGGCCTGTTTTAACTAATTTTTATAAGTTGGTTTTCATTATCTCATTAGTAAGTCCCAAAGGCTATGGAACAAAGGTGCTTACTTCAGTTAGATGATATATGAAAACCCACCTCCTCTCTATCTTAGAGGAGCTGCTATGGGGAAGTAGGGACAAGGTTTATTGCCACATCGAAGTATGTTAATGTTATTAAAATACTAATATATGCTCTGATACCTAATTCCATCTTAATGCAGTCTTTGTGAGGCAATACACAAATTGGCTACCTCTACATTGGCAAGATTTTGCACAAATACTCTTTAACGCAAGCGTTTTTGCGTTAAAGTGTTTGCGCAAGAGAGCGTCTACACTGGCATGTGCTTTTGCGCAAAAGCATCCGTACCAGTGTAGACGCTTTCTTGCGCAAGAAAGCTCTGATGGCCATTTTAGCCATCAGGCTTTCTTGCGCAAGAAATTCATGTTGCCTGTCTACACTGGCCTCTTGCACAAGAACACTTGCACAAGAGAGCTTATTCCTGACCAGGAGCGTCATAGTTCTTGTGCAAGAAGCATTGATTTCTTAGATTAGAACGTTAGTGTTCTTGCACAAGAACTTGCGGCCAGTATAGACAGGCCAATCTTGCCAATGTAGACACAGCTAAAATGCTTAGGCCATAATTTTCGTACTTAAGAATGTAGATGGTTATATACTTGTACTATTTAGTTTTCTAAATAAGCCCCCCCCCCCCCCAGGAGCTCCCAAAGCTATAGGACTTGAAGAGATCTTGCTGAGCACCTTGCAGAATCAGACCTCTCTGTAGGAGAAAATGGGAAGCTGAACAACAGTTGCGGTGGAGGTTAAGAAGTGGAGTCACAAGCAGAACAGAGAGAAGTACAATCCCAATCCAACTGACTTGGCTGAGACAATTCTGGTAGTTTTGTTTGATTTGCTTCTTCTCCATCTATTTCCCTTGTGCTGTCTCTAGTCAGATTTTTGAACTCTGAGCTTGGTTCGTCAATGGTTCTGAGTAATAATAACTTCCTGTTTGACAGAGTTACAGTAGGTCAACTAAATGGAGGAAATGGTC